GTTTACAAACACATTTTACAGAACTACAGAAGTCAGAGTCTACTGTAGTATGGTTACCCAGTTAACCAAGAGCCAGCCAGACTTTGGCCTTATTTGTATTCAACAAATTCAACTAATTTGCCAAGATACAGTGACTCTAGTGGCTGATATTCATTGTATGTGTATATCAAATCATCACGTTGTAAACTTTAAATCTATACAATTGTATTTGTTAATTATTCCTCAATGAAGTTATGGGGGATAAAAGAATCCCTTTTCAGGCCCTTAGCTCCTAGTGGTTGTCGTGGTAATTAGAGGCAGAGGGAATGAGTGCATAAACCTTGTGACATTTATTGATGTCAACTTTATAGGAACTAGTCTTTTGGATATCTAACTAATTACTATATATTTTCTTTTAAATCAGTCAACAAGCATTTATTGAGCACCTACTATTTGCATGATGCTGAGAGAACTAGATTAATTATATGATCACCAGGTATCAATAGACTCTTTAATTTATACCCAGAATGCATCTCCCATAGAGAAAGAAATAGTCAAGCCTTAATTAATCTAGCAACAGAATCTACCAAAGTCTTAATATCCCTATAGGATATTAGGTTCTATTTCAATATGTTATAGAGTACAACATATTGTATTGTCCTTGATGAGTGCCCTCAAGGACTTTACTGTATAAAGGAGATGAGGTGATTTTACAGTGAATTAGGGTTTAAGCTGAATTTTAAATAGTTTGTAAGACTGGATAGACAGAGAAGAGAAGCAAAAGCATACATGACAGGGGAAACAGTGGGAGCAAAGGCAGAAGTGGGTACGTTCGATGTTTCTTCTGGAGACTTTGAGTTTTTACATATTTCATATTTATGCAGATTTGATTATCCAATATGTTTAACCAGATCAGGGACTATAGAACTGCATTGAATGAAGGAAGTACTTTGAACATTTAAATTTCCCTCAACAAATGTATCCTTGTCCAAACCGTATTGCTAGGTAACCTATTCGTGCCCTCAACTCTCCCCTTTACAACTATGGGTTCCTCTAGATTTGTTTCAAATCTATTTCTTCCCCAAGTTCTGGACACCTAGCCTTCCATCTACAGAATTCATCCATAGGAGACAGTGACTGTGCTCTATTGTATCTTCATTGTTTCCCTTAGGCTATGGTCAATCTCTTATATTTGATTTCTTCAGAAATCCTTAACCCTAATCATAATTCTCTCCTCTGAAAGGCTGGACCTAACTAGCTCATGGTAGCAGACAAGGTAAATGGCTCCTTCTGTTACCCTCAGGGGCCTCAACCAGTATTGCCTTGACCCTGGGCATTACTTCAAACCTTTGTATTTTCTATGAGGCCAATACATCATTTAAAATCTTTAATAATATCCTCTGTGTTGTTGTGGGTTGAGGGGGATATTTTATCTCCCTTCCCTCATTCCTTTCTTAATACTACCTCTCCCTATATCCTTATGTTTAAATAATCATTATAGTTTAAAAATAATTCTCATCTACATTTCTTATTAGGTTTTTACAAGAGTCTGGTGAATCAGAAAGGGCAGAGATTATTATCAGCATATTGCAGGTGAAGAAACAGCTTCAGAGTGTTAAAATGTCTTGCTCAAGATCACACAGTTAAGAAACAGCAGAGGGCCGGCCCCGTGGCTTAGCAGTTAAGTGCGCACGCTCCGCTACTGGTGGCCTGGGTTCGGATCCCAGGCGCAGACCGACACACCACTTCTCCAGCCATGCTGAGGCCGCGTCCCACATACAGCAACTAGAAGGTTGTGCAACTATGACATACAGCTATCTACTGGGGCTTTGGGAAAAAAAAGGAGGAGGATTGGCAATAGATGTTAGCTCAGAGCCGGTCTTCCTCAGCAAAATGAGGAGGATTAGCACGGATGTTAGCTCAGGGCTGATCTTCCTCACAAAAAAAGAAAAAAGAAAAAAGAAGAAATAGCAGAGATAGTACTAGAACGAAATTGTATCTAATCATTATCAATCAGTTATAGCTGTAGACTCAAGCTTGCCATTCTTAGAACTCATGCACTCCAGTATTTTGGGGAACAGGGAGTAGATGGATGGGGTTGGCTATTTGCCTGGCCCCAGAAATACTGAATCAAGGTGACTGCATATAGCCACTCCTCTAAAAGTGGCAATAAATTGGAACTTTCTGGAGAATTCTGATAACTTTAAGAGAGTTGGCAAGCCAGTATGTTTTCTGTGCTTCTGCAAATCTTTTGGATAGTGTTCATTATTCATGATAACGATAGACCAATTTCCAAAAAATAATTAATGTACAATCATGTGTCACTTAATGACAGAGATACATTTTGAGAAATGCATCATTAAGTGATTTCATCATTGTGCAAACATTGTAGAGCATACTTACACAAACCAAGATGGTATAGCCTACAACATACTTAGGATATATGGTACTAATCTTCTGGGACCACTGTCATATATGCGGTCCAGTGTTGACCAAAACATCATTATGTGGAACATGACTGTATCTTAAATAGGACTTCAAATACATAATGGAATTTCTACCAGGTAACCATAAAGAGGAAAGGAGCAATGTCCAGGTGAGCAGATGGTTTTTTAAGAGCATTATGGAAAATGGAAAATAGCCTCCCTAAGAGCAATAAGACAGTTTTAAATAAACTATTTCTTAATGAAACAAGTGATGATTTTGGAAATTTAATATTATATTCATTGTATTATATATATAAGTAGTATGTATATAATATGTATATGTAGTAAGCTGGCAATATTTATGTTCCAAGAAATTTTAGGTGTCATAAACAGCTAGTTATACCTCAGCCATCCGGAACTCAAATATCTGGCAACCTCAGCTATTCAAACACAGCTGACAGAGCCAGGAAGGAAGCAAAATAGTCCTGAATAGCCAAAATAGATGTCATAGAGTCCATGAACTAAAACCCATACACTTTGTTCCATAGGAGATTTTCCCTTTTCCACACACACCCTCTCCAAATAAAATAAAATAAGAAGGCTTTTACTCATTTTTGTTAAATTTAAACTTTGTTATAACTATCTTGATTAGTGAGAGTGTTTTCAAAGCCACAACCTAATCTTAGAAAAAGCTAATTGAAATGATAGGGACATCATTAGATAGGCTCACTGACAATGGCAGGAAATAAGAACAGATAGCCTGAAAAGGTAGGGAAAAGAGCACTTATAAAATCAAATATATAAGAAGTAAATATCCATGAGGCCTTTTTAGTGTAGGTACAAGCAACCCTACAGATTTCAATAGCTCTGAGAGAAGCAAATGTATACAGTACAATAACTGATGTTTATAATGATGGCCCTCAGTCATTCTGAAAAGATTACATTAAATGTTAAAGATTTTCTTAAATAACAACAATGTTAATACTAATAAAAACAAAAACACACATTTGTAAAGTGCTTTAGAGTTTAGAAAGCACTTTCCAAGAAGTATGCCTCATATTGAGATCATCTAGTCTAGCCCCTATATGGACAGATAATAAAACTGAAACTCAAAGAGAAGTAACTTCCCCGAAGTCACATAGCTTATCAGTGGCAGACTTGAAACTAGAATCCTGATCCTCTGAATCTGGATTAATGCTTATTTTATACACCATGTCCACTTGTTTAAAACAAACTGCTTAAGTGTGTAGGAAAGAATATAATTTAGAAGCATTTGCACCTAAAATGGTGTTTTAAATGTTCAAGTACTTAAGGAGCTACTCAGTCATTTCTACAGAATACAACTGTGTAAGATACAGATCCCTAGAGGACTTCAGAGAACCTAGGTTGTACCCTATTTCTTTTTCCCCCTGTAGTAAAAGTTATCTTTGTTTTGATAGGAAATCTTTATTATGAAAAAAATGTCCCCCAAATAAAACATTTTGTGAGTTTCCAATTTTATAAAGACAAGAAAATGTCTTTATAATTTTATAAAACTAACCACTGCTTTTTAAAATACCATTTTAACGAAACCCAATATGTGAAATTTTAAATTTCAAATTTTCCAGTGGGAGTGATTCGTATTACAAAATGATTTAACCACAGAAATTTAAAAAAATAGCAATTTTTCATTCTGCATTTATAATAACATTCGATTCACCAATATTCTCCTTACATTTATCTTTAGTTGTGAGACACGAGGTCCAACTGAAAAATTATATGCCTATGTGTGTTTCTTCATTAACTTATTGTTTAAATCAATCCAGTAGTTGTGAATGAGGTTGTATATAGAGGAATTAATCTAGGCAGACCATGGCACAGTTGATTTTAATGAACAAATATAACAAAACATTTTTTGGATGAATGTCAATATACTAAAGCATGTATAACATCACACACACTCAAACATCCAAGTAAAGAGCTTTCATTGCAAACCCTGAAACTGTGAAGTTTTTGAAATATGTTAGAACACAATTTTATTCTGTTTAAGTTGTATGTGTTGTGTGTGAATCTCATGATATTTTTGAGATATTTGGGATTAATCTGACTTGTTTGTTTCCTTAAGGGGAGAAAAGGAAAATCTCTTAGATATTCCAAGTTATAAGGATATTAATTCCCATAACTCCTATTAATATTAATAAACATTTCCTCTTTAGTCTACTTTTCTCAACTAGTGTATATTTTCTAGATAAAGCTAGAATCATATTGTTCTCATGTACATTTTTAAATGTTTGGACAATTCACCTTTGTCTACTTGTTTTTCATTTACATTTTGTTCTTTGGAGGAGAAGGTGAAAATACTGGACCCATTGCCGAGGAACAGGTGTGCAATTATTCTGTTGCTCATTCCTTTCTGTAAAGAAAGATATTTTCTCATACACTCTGTAGGACAATATGTTTCCATTTGGAAAGAAAATATAGGCATGAATAATTGCTTCAGAAGGATCATTTTGAGGATGAAGGGAAGGGGACATGTTTTTTTTAAGGCACTCGACAACACCATTTTTTAAGAAAAATATTCAAGATGACATAGCTAAACTGGTAGAGAATATAGACTATTCTAAGCTAAGTATTTGATTACATTGTTTTGGAATCATCCAAAAGTTCAAGAGAGATAGTTTGAAGATCCTCCTTCCTGTGATGAATTTCCAAACCACTGTCCTTGCATCTCACACACGACTGAAGAACCAAGCCACCATGTTCCGAAAATCTATCACGAAATTCTGAGGTCATAAAGTAATATACAACTGGATCAAGACAGCAATTCAGATTTGCGAGACACAGGGAAATGATGTGGAAATAGAGAGTGCTCTTAATAAATGAACAGTTTGAAAAGACGTGTTGTTTAACCATCATAAAGAATGGGAAGTTGAGGTGGTAAGGGGTGAAACATACAATAAACACCACTGCACACATCAGGACCATCCACAAAGCCTTTTTTCGCTCTTTGATATTCTGAGGGGGAACTTGGAATTCCTGTAAAGATTTTCTTGTTTTCCATGTGCAATAAGTAATAATTACAACTGGCAGTACAAATCCTCCAAGTTCAGCTACAGTTACCATGCCAATGGAGGAAGCCATGCTAATGTGTTGAAGCCCTAAATCAGCAAAGCAGGACTCAGTGTTGTTGGCTAAGCCAACACTTCTCAGAATTGGAAGCGGCAAACAGGCAGTCCCCACGATGACCCAGATGGCAGCACTGATGCCTACATCATACCTACGCTTCCAATCTCTGGCCCTGAAGGGCTTGAGGAGAAAGAAGCACCTCTGAAGGCTGATGCACGTCAGGAAGCAAATGCTGGCATACATGTTGAGATACTTCAGGTAGAAGCACAGCAGGCAAAGGGCCCTCTGGAAAGGCCAATGGTGGCTGATGTAATAGTAAATCCGGAGGGGTAAGGACAGAACGTGAGCAAGGTCAGCCACAGAGAGGTTGATCATGAAAATGATGGCTTTATTTTTCTTGCTGATGAAGCGGCACAGAATCCACAAGGCTGCACTGTTGGCAAGAAGACCAGGGATGAATATGAGGACGTAGGTGGTTGCATAGAGGGAGTACTGAAATGGCATTTGAAGATCAGTGCACTTTGCTCTTGTACTGTTTGTGCTGTTACTTCCCATCTTGAGCATTTATGTTCCTTCCTTAAGGAAAGCATTAGAGTGATGATTTCTGCAGAAAATAGAGTAAAAATAGGGTCAAGGTCATGTCTGTCCATGTTTGGGTATATAAACATATTTGTTTCCTACCAAAGAAGTATTCAAATGACAACTTTCATAAATTCAAAAGGTCTTTACTATGTAAACTGAAAATATCATGCCAATCTACATGCCAATGGATAACAGTATTGTGGAATATATTTTCAGGAATCAAAAAGATTACTATTTTGGCAATAACCTCAGTCAGGTTTTCCTCTCAGTCAGAGGAAGTAACCAAACTTACAGAGATAACCAACAAAAAAGACCTCACTGGAAAATAGCCCCCAGAAATACTTTCCACCACTCTTGTGGAGTTCCACATTTCAGTTTTACGGTTGTCTCCATATGTATTTTCAAAATTTGAGATCTAGTTATGTTCCCTATCATCAGCCCTGGGAGAGAGAAAACTTAATTTTCTCTCAGGTGACTGCTGAGGTGAGTCTATGAACCTTTGGGAATGAAACACTGGGAAGGGCTGACAGGTCACCAGGCCTTGGAAGAATAGGGGCTTGGAAAAGATGGTTCAACTCAGATAACCTTTGCCTCCTTTAGAATTTGGCTGAGGGTAAAATTAGTCCTGCTTATATGTCATGGCACTGTTCAGAACCTTTTGTAACTTTACAGATTTGTGTTTATTGATAGAAATATGGTAGCTTTAGACATTCACATTTATTGAGGCTATCCTTGCAGCCATTTCAAACAACTACCAGAGTATGTGAAGGACTAGAGGGTATCTGGTCGTAGATGCAGCAAAAGGGGCTATCTCTGCTTCAACTCTCAGGGCAAGTTCAGTGAAAAGTTATTAATGTGGATGGCTACATTTTTAACAACTGTAGTTGTTAGAAAGTTCTTCTCTCTAGTAAGTCAAAATCTGTATCCCTGTCATTTCAACCTAGTTGGGTCTACCAAAGCCAAATAAAATAAAGTCTACTCCCTGTTAGACATGAAACTCTTCAAATATCTGAAGACAGCAATCCTGTCCTCTCTCAAATCTTCCCTTATCCAGGTTAAACATTCATTCCTAGTATGACATGGTCCTTGTTCTTGGTTTTCTTTTGAATCAGAACATTATTACTTTTGGCCAAAAGCCACTACAATACAGCTTCTTTGACCCTTGAAAATGACAGTTTAATTACCCAAATGTTCGACATTTTTAGGAAATATGACTTATGCATCGGATTGTAGAAACAAAAGGATAAATGGGATTTTGTTACTCCCTTGTACTTTTTATTGCTTACAAAGGCAGTTAATTTGTTTCACATTTTATGAAATTGAAGGGAAAATGAGACAGACTTAACTAACTATTGAAAGAAATATAGGATCTAAGGCAGTGCCTATTCAACCCTAAACACAACCAATTAAAAAGTGTAAAAATTCAGTCAACCTACACACAGGTCATACAGTGTCATACACCTACTTGATGACTTTGCATTGACTACATGGAGTTCTCAGATAGATTGTATTTACTGACAGTGCATTGCAGTCAAACAACCAGCTCATTCAAGTAAACAACTACTTTGAATGTTTTCTTTTTTTTTTTTCCCACTGAATTGACAGTTTTGCTGAACCGGCCAGTTAGTCTAGCACACTGTAAATAAAGCCAACACTATTTTTTTGTGTGTGTGGTTTGTTTATCCAGAAAACTAACTAAAATAATTGATCTCGTGTTCTGTATACTCAGTCTAAATAAAAAACCATGTAAACTTGAACCAGAATTATTCTTGAAATAAAATTTAGGGAACAGTTAATATGTATGAAGTCTTCTCTGATCATCTTTGGTTTATGTTATAATAATAGTTAACAATCACTGAATGCCCACTTCGGGGAAGGTGCATACTAAGTACTTTATATACACTCTCTCAATCAATCCCTCACAGCAATCCTACACAACAAAAAAATATTACCACTATTTTACAGACTGGGAAACTCTGGTCCCAAGAAACACATGACTCACTTCCTCCAAGAAGACTTTCCTGACCTCTCCAAACCACAAGTCACTCCTACAGCCTCATAGTAGCCATAGTTCTGATAATCTTCTTTAGTGAAAGCACACTTACTTAACATACCTAACATGCTGTGGTCATTTGACTTTCCATGGAGTCTGTTTTGCTCCCCTAAATAGATTGCAATCTCCTATATGTCAAAGACTCATTCTCTTACTTCTTGTTTTCCTCCATAGTAAAGTGTGTAGCACAGTATCTTGAACATATTAGACATCCATTAAGGTTTGTTGAGTGAATGACTGAATGCATGCTGAATGGATGAATCAGGGGGAAAAAAGTCTTACTGAGAGGAAGGGAATGAATGTCTGGGGAATTAGAATTTAGCTGTGATGTTTAATTTGTCCACCAGGTGTCAGAAGTATACCAACGTTCAAATATCTTTTGATATTTAAAACATAATTTATTTGAAAATTCCATTAAAGGATAAATCGTACTAAAGGAGAGAAGTATCAACGACATCCTAACATAAGAAAAAGAATCTTCTAGGGGCATTTTCGAGAGTTTAGATTTATTTTATTTAATTTTTTCAGCTTCCATACTCTCTCGTATAGTTCTCTGAAAATAGTTTGGCTTCGAAATACATTATAGATTCCTAGAATACTAGAGCTGTTACTAAAGGGCATAGAGATCTTCTGATCTTGCCACTTTTTATAGATGAGGAAATCGAGGCCAAAAACAGGGAGATTAAATTTTCCAAAATCACATAGAAAATCAGTGGCAAAGGCTGAACCAGGATCTCTTGCATCTTCAGAGCAGTTTTTCCTTTTCCAGGAACTTCTAAGATGAAAACCATATTTTTGTAATTATGTAATAATAATACAAACTTTCAGAAATAAACCAATGCCAGATTTTAGAACACTAACCTAGACAGTGAACTGTTACAGCAAAAAGGATTAGTTCTTTCCAAATATTCCAAGACAAATACAGTGTTTTTAAAAAGTGGAATGAGTATTTCTAGTCCCTAAAGATAAGACTGTGTAAAGAGTCTGCTTAAAAGTCTTAGACATGGTTGTTTTTAAACTTTCCTTATTTCTTCTCACAAGGAATAGGGTTTCACATTAGAAAACAGAGGTAAGCAAAAACAACCCAAAATATATATATATCTATCACCACTATTTCCATTGCTAACATTTTGGTGTATAATCTACCTTTTTTTTTCTCTTCCTGTAGAACTATAAATGAATACATGTATATATATTTTAACCAAATTCGACTTATATACACATATTCTTTTACAATCCTAGTTTGTATTCAATCATAATTATTATGTATATAGAATCTTGTCAATAATAGACATCTAAATAATCATTTTAATGGATACTTAGAAGAATTCCATCAGAATTATGTAATATAATTTATTTAACTAGCGGACATTGGGGTATATTTCCATTTTTTCACTATTAGAACAGTGGTTTGATAAATATTCTTGTACACTCATCTTTGTACATTTGAACATCTATTTCCTTTGAATAAATAATTAGAGGTGGAATTTCTAGGCTTTTGATGTGTAATGCCAAATTATCCTCCTGGAAGGCATCCTGTATGAAATTCCAGAGCTAATGTTATTTTTCATAACATCACAATGTCATATCTATTGCTTTTTCAAATATATCAAATTCTTTTCAGCTGGAGGAAGAAGTATGGTACAGAATTCTGACTCATTCTTGAAGGCCTAGCTCAAAATAACTTCCTCAATCTAGTCACAAATCAACCCAGACAAAATTTCTTATTCCACCTTAATACAGTGGTTCTCAAATTTGAGCGTGCCTCAGAATCATCTAGAGGGCTGTTCCACCCACAAGAGTTTCTGATTCAGTAGATCTGGGGTAGGGCCCAAGAATTTATATTCCTAATATGTTCTCATGTGATCCAGGAACCACACATTGAAAACTACCTCCCTAACACACTGTTTATGCCAGCAAGGATTATGTTTTATCTGAAAAAACAGTATATTATCTCCTCAGAAATATGATGAATCATTTAATTAATGATATAGACTGAATGTTTGAATGTTTATGTGCCTCCAAATTCATATGGTGAAACCTAATCCCCAACGTGATGGTATTTGGAGTTGGGACTTTGAGAGGTGATTAGATCATTAGGGGATTAGTGCCCTTATAAAAGAGACCCCAGAACCATCCCTTGCTCCTTCCACCTCTGAGAAGACGGTCATCTACGAGCCAGGAAGTGGGCTCTCACCAGACAGCAAATATGACAGCATCTTGATCTTCAACTTCTCAGCCTCCAAAACTATGAAAAATAAATGTTGTTTAAGCCACCCAATCTATGGTATTTTTACTATAACAGACCAACCAGACTAAGACAATTAATCATATATTCTTTTCCACCCCGGGTGAGGAAACTCACAGACAAGTTTGTGACCTAACTTTCATAACTGTGTAGTATAATCTAGCCCATTTATCCACATTCTATTATTTCTCCTGTCTCTAACATGTGGAATAAAAGTAATAGTAAAACAAAACAAAAACAAAGATAGAAATATTGCATTGTGTTTAGGTTTTAGAAAACAATCAGGATTCCTATGTTTAAAAAAATATTCTGGGGCTGGCCCAGTGGCGCAAGCAGTTAAGCGTGTGCGCTCCACTGCAGCGGCCCGTGGTTCACTGGCTGGGATCCTGGGCGCACACTGACGCACTGCTTGTCAAGCCATGCTGTGGTGGCGTCCCATATAAAGTGGAGGAAGATGGGCATGGATGTTAGCCCAGGGCCAGTCTTCCTCAGCAAAAAGAGGAGGATTGGCAGATGTTAGCTCACGGCTGATCGTCCTTACCAAAAAAAAAAAAAAAAAATTCTGTAATCCTCTTAATGCTCTAAAAAAAGTTGAGCTTTTAATATATTTTTTACCACAATGTATTATTATTAGAAAAGCCTAAAAAACTTATTCCTAAAGCATTTGTATCTAACTAATTCCATTTAAAAATCATTATTAATTTTCAGAATAACTACTGTT